AACTAGCCAATTACTTCTCTAGGATTACATCTCCTGGTATATTACTTTAGAAGGAAATATTGATTATAATATAAAAATGCTTCTAGGACATTTCAAAGGTTGTCTGCCAATTGGTGAATCTGGTTGCATGCTATTTAATTTTAATGTGGACAAACAATTTCAATGCATATTCTTTGATCTGTTGCTTCAATCTACAAGAAGTACACTACTTAACAAATGAATACAAAAACAGCACCAAAGGACAATTGCTAGGGCTCTACAGTACTTCAGATTCAATCTTCAGAAAGTGTTTTAGAGCTTGAGGGAGTGAAAATGCAGCCCCTGTTTACAACACCTTAAGACCACTATGGAATCCCAGGAAATGACCTGACAACTTTCAAGTGTCACAGTCAAGAATTATGTTTATGTCCCCAATTCCAAAGTACCTTTTGGATACTGAATCTGAAGAATTGCTAAAAGTATTTCATGAAACTATTACTACAGACAAATGTAGTAATATTATCAAACTATAATAAAGATGGAGGCAATCACATCAGCTTAAAGTGCCTTGGTAAATAAAAATGCCTTGATCAAGTGTGAAAAGACTTGCAGAGTTGGTCCTAGTTGAACTTCCTGTGAGAAAGTGTTCCAAAGTCGGCTATCCTCTAGAAAATGTGTTTTGGTGTATTTGAATATAACATTTTCCTGAAGGTACTTATGGAGCTTAGGGAAAGAAAAGATGCCAACTTACAAGGATTCTACCCTGTCCAGTTTAAAGTTGTAGAAAGAATACATTCACGAATGAAGGTGAATGTATGTGTCCCAAGATAATGTTCAGGATCCAATCTGTGTTGGTCACCAGAGGTTTAGACTTCTGAGCTTTTGGACTTGTGCTGGAGCACTTCAGAAGTTCCCTGAGGAGGGCTCCAGTAAGTTGTCCGAAAGCTTGGACAACTAAACCTCTGGTCATGATAATCGACTCAGATTGGATCCTGCAGAATACACTCAAATTAGTGATAGTCTCAGGTTCTTTTTAGTGAAGGCAACTACTTATTGGACCAGGTCACAGGTAGCTAGCTGTTATTACATCAAACTATTATTGACTAATTTAAGGACTTGGTTTACTCCTAATTCTTTGTTTTCAGATTAGCAAGATGTGTGAACTCAACCACATTATGTGAATGGATCAATTATAGCTTGTTCAACAAGCCTTAATTTTAAAAATTCTAGTTTAGCATTATATATGAATTCAACTAAAGTTTCAACTAAATGATTCTTCTAACAATAGTCAACCCCTTCTTTCCATTCACCAATTCTTCTCACAATCCCATTTATAAAGCTCTTCTGAGTAATGTTCCCTAGGCCAGGGGTCCCCAACCCCCGGTCCATGGAGTGGTATTGGGCCGCGGCATGCCAGCAACCAGGCCGCACAAACAAGCAAAGTCTGGGATGCAGGTAGCACACAAAACCACAATCCCTCCGGTCCACAGAAAAAATATCTCTCTACATAACTGGTCCCTGGTGCCCAAAAGGTTGGGGACCTCTGCCCTATCCAATGTATTCACTTCTCATTTCTATTGGTTCTATTGTTGATGCTTTTCTTAAAAGGCTATGACATGGTATCTCTCTAAAACAATAGAGACGAGACTACACCTGAATGTTGAGTAGATTTAGCAGAGTAAATGGCAGAGATGAGTAGTAGAGAAAGGTTCTACAAACTAGGATTCAGTAATCCAGAGCTAATCCATCCAAATATTGCCATCTTTAAATTGTGTTCCAGAGAAAATTTCCACAATATACTATCAAATTAAGTTGGTAAATTACCTAGGTCTTGCATTAAAGGAAGACCAGCTGCAAATGGTCTTCTTTTAATGCAAGACCTAGATAATTTACCAATTTAATTAGCAAATGTTTAAAATGTTTTTCGATGTGTAACAGCATCACTCAAATGTGTGCTGCCAGCTACCTGAAAAGAATTCTTAGACTATAACCACTATAGCTTTCAGTAAAAATATAGCATTTATTTTATGTATTTTTTCGTTCTCTGCATCAAATATCCAGACCATTTAGATTTATTTTTGTATGTATGAGGTTAAATGTGTGAACATAGTTAGCTGTCACTCAAAACTATTACTGGAAAAGCAATATCTGTGCTTGTAGAATCATTTATTTCCATCCAGAAAAATGTATTTATACAAGTCTCCAGATTAAGAACGTTCTGCTTAAAAGAAGACCCATAGTTAGGAATGGAGCTTATTGTAGCAAAATTCAAGCTAAAAACCTAGTGATTCAAGTTAAACGCAAAATAGTTCAAATTCATTTTACAATACTACTTACACGGTATCATACAAAAATACTATTTCTACATACAAATCTGATTTAAACACAAATCTTGGAAACAGAACTCATTCTTAAACTAGGAACTACCTGTACTTAGGTTATTTATGCTTAATATACTCCATTTATATCAAAAAGCCCAAAATATGACTTCTTCAAGATTTAGACTTCAAGAAGCATATTGAAGGCATATCTAAACCATCAATGATAGCATTTACCTCCTCCCCTCACATATATAAAGCATCATTACAAAATCATTTTTGTAATCAGTATATATCAGCACTTTCCCCCCTAAATCAAGTACAGGTAGTCCTTGACTTACAACAATTCACTTACTGACCGTACAAAGTTACAACAGCACTGAAAAAAGTGACTTATGACTGTTTTTCACACTTACGACCGTTGCATCCTCATGGTCACATAATCAAAATTCAGATGCTTGGCAACTGGTTCATAATTATGACGGTTGCTGTGTCCTGGAGTCATGCGATCAGCTTTTGCAACCTTCTGACAAGCAAAGTCAATGGGGAAGCCAGATTCACTTAACAACTGTGTTACTAACTTAACAACTGCAATGATTCACTTAACAGTTGTGGCAAGAAAGGTCGTAAAATGGGTCAAAACTCACTTAACAAATGTCTCACTTAGCAACAAAATTTTGGGCTCAGTTACTGTATAGCTACACTATTTGTTTCTTATTCTAACAGAAGAATGTCTTTTTATTTAATATAAAAGATGTGATCGAAATAATTACTTGGCATTTCTACAAAAAGTTACCTTTTCTGAGCAGCAGATCTTTTCTTCTGCCAAATATTTATTTCAAACTGTTTTAGGAAGTTTCTTTAGTTTCAAAATTGAACATCATATTGCAAGACTTTTTGGGCATAGCATCAGCTTCCATTGGAAGATTCAGTCGTACAAATGCACTTGTGCATTAAGAATTACATATAGGTTAGATGGCCCAGCCACCACTCCTCTGTAACTTGTTATATTTCCTTAGTTTATTAAGAGAGCCAAGGGAAATAGTAGTTAAGGCACCAGGCTAGAAAGCAGGAGACCTTGAGTTCAAGACCCACCTTAGCCATGAAAGCCAGATGGGTGACTTTGAGCCAGTCACTGTCTCTCAGCCCAACCAACCAAGGGTTGTTGTTGTTGTGGGAAAAACAAGAGGAAGAAGGTGTGTTGGATATCTCACCACCTTGAGTTATTTGTAAAAAATAATGGCAGGATACAAATAAAATCAGGAAATGGACTTTATTTTTTCCTATTATTTATGGGATCCATTATAAATGTATACCGTCTTAAAATTAGCATATTCAAGAATGTCGAGAATAGAAATAAAATTGCACCCTTCTTCATACTGTCCAAAATATTAAAAATGTGTGCTATCAATGTATACTTCCAAGTGATACAAATGGTGTTTAGTAACTAACTCTTCCTTTATTTTTTAATAGCCAGGTTGATATTGTGGTAAAGGTGCTGCACTAGAAATCAGAAAACTCTGACTCTAGTCTCATCTTCTGCATAAAAGCCGAATTTTGCTCTCTCTTAGCACAACCCACCTCGGAGGATTATTGTTGAGGAGAAAACAGGAGGGGGAAGGAGCATTATGCATGTTTGCCACCTTGAGTAACTTATAAACTAATAAAGGCAGTCTAACAATCTAATAAATAAGTTACATTACTCCTACTGCATATCTTCAATAGCAGCATTTTCATCATGGTTTTTGTTTGTCTGAGCTGATACCACTGGAAGCAGTCTCGCACAATGCCATCAAAGCTTGCAGAAAACCTCAGAAATATCAGTACACACTAAGATCAGCATATCACCAATAATGATAAAAAAACAATCTATCTGAAGACATAGCTAGATTTCCTTTTTGTGTTTTGTGTTTTTTCTACTGCTAATCACAAAGCAATACTAACTCTTTCAATAATATGTAGATACAGTGATACTGTATATTGGCAGGTCAATCCATAGAAAACTGGAAGCGTACCCTTAAGGCTATATAGGAAATGTTTTCAGTCTAGCAGAACTACTACCCCTCCCCAACTCACCAAGAATGGCCCATTTGTCTGGTTCATATGTCTACGATTCGCTTTTACTTTCCCTGAATCCCTGAGCTTCAATTATCTGAGCTTTCCCTTGACCTGCAATATCATCATCACTTGTTTCCTACTGGGAGAAAGTCATTCAGCCCTCCACTGTTTTGCATCACTGCCTCTGTGTAAAGTCCTCCAACCCATTCAGGACGGTGGTACCCAACCAAATATTCCCTGTCCTTGTTTCTCCCCGCTTTCCCCCTTTCCTCCTTATAACAGAGAGAAATAGGAAGACAGCCCCAGCTATAGCCACCACCACCAAAACACTGGGGCACTACGATCTGCCCCCCCATCCCATTTAGGTAAGGACAGAGCCACGCTGGCAGAGAAAGGGGGAACATCTTCACCAACCCCTCCCTGATAACCAGACAGAAGGCTAATTGGTATGGATGGCTCCATCGCCCATCTCTAGGGATGACTCAACCTGCCTTCTCTTCAGCCCAGCTTGGTGAGCATCTTGCGCGGGGCAGGCTGCGACCACTTGGGGTGGGGAGGCGACGCCCGGCTGCGCTCCCCCCACCGCAATGGAAAGCCTCTCCGGGCGGCCCCCGGCTCCTTTTATTTCTCCCTCACAGCACCCACCATAGCTGGCAGCTCGCTGCTCCCCGTCCCTACCGGACCGACGCTAGTGTCTCCACAAGCGCAGAGCAGGGCGCTGAGAAAGGGCAGCAGGCGACGGTACCCCCAGGCTGGGGCTCCGCAGCATCCTCGCTGCCTCCGCTCCATAGCGGGGCCCATCCCTGCACCTGCTCAGGCAGGGAGAGCAGGGCCTGGCCGACCGCGCATGCGCCTCGGCCAGAGAGGTGGGATAAGGATGCGATGCAACTCAACCCCGCTCAGTTCTTTGAGGTAATAACAAAAAGTCTTTAAGGGGCGGGAGGAGTTGGGTGGCAAAAGAGAGGAAGCTTATGCCAGCTGGAGGTGTAAAAGAAACTACGGAAAAAGGCTGAATGGGCGCTCGTAGATCTGAGCAACAACTGCAAAAAGAACCCGTTGATTTTGAGTAGATGAAAAGTTAGCTTGGATATGCGGATTGCGATGGCCAGGAAACCGTTTAGAAGTTGTTGAAAGTACGGGCGGCAATACGCAGTTTTTGAATTAATGAAATTGAAACAATCTTGTGCTTCAATCTGCAATGAGGCGAGTTCTACAGGCAAACTCAAACATCAGCTCAGTCCTGTGCAGATATCCTCAACACAAGGGTGCTGTATGCTGTTTGGCTTCCTATCAAGCCCACCTGCTTGGGGCTTCATCCTCAAAATTCATGATCAATAGTTTCAGTACTTTGAAATTGTTAAGAAATTTGTCTCCCAAATGGTCCTAATTATGATAATCATTATGATAGTAGAACCATTGAAATAAGTTTAATCATAAAGATTTGCCCTTTCGGTTCTAGGAAATGAGAAGCTAAAATTAAGTCAAAACATTACCTTAGTCCTTTAAAATGCCATGGTATAGCCCATAGCCAATAGTGAAGATGTTTGCTTTTTTATTATGCATACAGTAAGTAGAAGCCCTTAAGCAACCTTGGCTAACTCTGAAAAAGCTTTGTCTTTGTTCTTGGAAGGGAGAACTTCATTTTGTGTTGTTGCCACAACTGTCTTCAACTTTCCCCCTCATAGAGTATCAAAGGGAATACTGTGGCTTGCATAATTCTATCTAGAGATACATTTGAATAATCTTTTCCATTACTACCATAAAGAATGCCGGTTTGTAGCATATTACTTGACTACTGATTCTTTTACTGTTGAGAGGCAATCCTAAAGGCAGAAACTATCAACCACTTTCAATATCTTAACTGTCAATTCCAAGGCGGTTCCAAGGTTTTACTGTCCTGTTGTCATTATGGTAGTTTGGTCTTCTTTATATCTAACATTAATCCCATTTGTTCACTGAGCTCCACTTTCCTTACTAGAACTTTCATTTCCATTTTCAGCTATCAGTAGTTCATCAGCATAGTGCAGGTTACTGATGTTCCTTCCTCCAGGATTAGAAACATGCTATTTTTGTAAATACCTTCCTCAATATATATCCAGCATATTGACTGAATAAATAAGAAGAGAGTATTTAGTCCTGTGTAGATGTGATAGGTATTCATAACTTAGTTATTCAAGAATAAAATGTTGAATTTAAATGCAGATATTCCTAACACAGATATTATGCTTTAACTTAACCTACAAAGGCTGACACCATATTATTGCACCCTAAATACTGTATATATATAACAGTATAAGCTTTTATGGAATAAAATCCACTTCATCTGTTACTTAATAATTGAAAAATAAAAAACAACTAATAATGTATCATATGATTGTTTTTAACAGTTAAAATGTAAGGGAATAATTTTATCACGGATATATCAAATGCCTGTGATAGCACCTTAAATGTTATAATGATTTTTAAGGAGACTCCATAAAGTAAATTCATAAGCATTTTTATAAATAATACAAAATATTTTTTCATAAATTATTACCCCATACACACACACACACACACACATAGGGAGAGGGAGAGGGAGGGAGGGAGGGAGGGAGAGAGAGAGGGAGAGACAGAGAGGGAGAGAGAGAGAGAGAGAGAGAGAGAGAGAGAGAGAGAGAGAGAGAACGACTGCACATAAAAGGACCCCAGTCAATTTTTTAAAAGAATAACATATTGGGAGTATAATTGATGTGCAAAATTATGGGCCAACATTTTTCTATAAGATTTTATTTAATTTTGGACATGAAAAATGTCATAATATCTCTAAACAAATAAAGTAATATTCCAGGAGATGTATTTGAAGCTGCACCAGTTGCTATTTACATACTGTGTTCCCCGAAAATAAGAGCAGGCCTTTTTTTTTTGGACCAAAAGACCCATTAGGTCTTATTTTCAGGGGATGTCTTATTTTGCAGCCACCCGCCCACTGACTCCCACCATCTGCTTGCCCGTGGCCACAATGGCTTACAGGGCTTCCCAGGGCAGATGCACTTTTTGCCCAGACAGATAAATGTTGCAGACTGGAAGCTTCATCTGCTTGCAAATGGGGCCCTTTGAAATGGATTGCTCCGTTTCAAAGTGCCCCATTTGCAAGCAGACGAAGCTTCCAGTCTCCATCATTTCTCCGTCCTGGCGAAAAGTGTTTGAGCACCTATGGGGCACTTGGAAATGGAGCAATTTGCTTCATTCCCAAGCGCCCCATAGGTGCCCAAACACTTTTCACCGAGAGGGAGACTGGAAGTTTCGTCTGCTTGCAAATGGGGTACTTTGAAACGGAGCTAATCACTCCATTTAAAAGCACCCCATTTGCAAGCAGTTGAAGCTTCTAGTTTCCCTCTCGGTGAAAAGTGTGTGGTGGAGCCAGAGGCACGGGGGGGGGGGGCAGGTGATCTGAACATGCTGTATGGCTGCCTGGCTTGTGGGAGGCTTGTGCAAAGGCAGCAGCAGGTGGAGGCAGAGGCACAGGGAGGAGGCAGGCGATCCTGACGTAACGCCCACTCCATCCTGTCTCTCTGCTTGCCCATGGCCGTACCAGGATTGCCTTCCTCCCCGCCATGCCTATGCCTCTACCTGCTGCCGGTGCCACCGCAGAAGCCTCCCATGAGTCTCCTGTGAGCCAGACTGCTATGCAGCATGGCTGGATCACCTGCCTCTCCTCCACCTCTGCCTCTGCGCTCGGACTTACCTGCACTGCGCCCAAGGGCTGGCGGGCTGTGGCTGCTGCCGAACACCATCAGCCTGTGTGCTCACTGCCTCTTGTGCTGGCTATGCCCATCCCCCCAGGCTTCTTTTGGGGGTAGGGCTTATATTAGGGGTGGCTCTTATTTTGGGGAAAACCCGGTAGGTCTTTAGAATGTTTTGCTGAAATTTGTATTTAGAAAAAAGATGAATGTGCTTGCTTGAATGTTGATAGATATTGGGTGTAATTTTAGATTTTTTTTAATACTTAAATTTTATTTTAAAACTACTGTAAAACAACCTGCATGTTTAAGGTAATACTGTTTACTTCTAATACATTTTAATGCCATCTTATCAGGCTGTTACCTTGCAAATATTTCTTCTTAATATGTTACTTCTGAGAGATATTAGTACTTATGTGACTGAGATTGCAACATGTTGTCATGAAGAAAATTATATTTGGTCACAGTCAACGGAGTCCGTGTTAATGCAAATCCTGGGAAAATGAAATTCCAAGAATGCCAGATTTCCAAATAGATAGTATCTGTAGTCTTCAATGGACAAAGCTCCAGCTATCTTCCTTTTTAGAACATTAATTATAGCATGGGAATTCCTATTCTTCCTCAATCAATAAGCCACATATTGTACTAAATTGCTTATAGTCAAAAATGATGATTTCCATATTTTGTAAAGTAAATTTTATGGATTGCCTTACAAAAGCACTTACAATTACTCTTGTAAGAAGAGTACGAAGAAAGGCCATCTCTGCAATTCATCCATGCAGTTCTGTGTGCCCATGAAAAGTAACTTGTGAAGGATTCAGAAATTTGCTGCAGCAGTATGAGAGATGGTACAGAAAGCTGAAGGGATGAACAGCAAAGATTGTGTTTTTGCGTCTCCCTCCACTAGAAAGTTGGCTAGTATTAATCCAACCAGTTTCTAAAATAAAGGCATGTGTTTGTGTTTTGAAAAAAACATAAAATTACAAAACAAATTACAGATGTAATTTTACTTAAGGAAATTACAGTTTGGGTACTTAAGGAAAAAAAACGTATTTTTTTTTCTGACAAACTTAAACAGAAGGAAATTCCATTTAGGTCCAGTAAATTGGAAAGAGTGATTTTTATTTTTAAACTGCATAGATTCCAATTGAAAGCAAGAGACTGGAAAAATGTAAAGATTTGGAGAGAATGCAAATGGAAGCGACAATGACAGATGAGACTGCCACAGCAGATACAAGACATTGAGGAGGATTCCACATTGGGCACTAAGGTATTGACTTTTCTATAATTCTAGCCTATGAATTATAAATTGATTTGTGCCTGGAGAACTGTTTTTGACTTTTATATAAAAATGAAAAAAATGAACTTGTGATTTATGCTTTGATAGACAGGATAAATTATAGAAAAAAACAATATCATGATGTAACTTTAGAGAACGAGGTTAAAATATAATTGTGCTTATAATTGCTGTGAAGAATATCAGAAGTCTCGTTTGTATCTTTTTTCTTTTCTAAATTTCCTTAACCTTTTTCTTGTACTTTTCCCTTTTTCTTTTCTTCCTTATTTTATAAATTAGTTTGCATTAGTTTTTATCTTCTTTTTTAAAAGTTTTAATAAAAATTATATATATAGTGTAACAGTGCTACTTTTGACAATATCCACCCATCCCATCAATTCAAATAAAGTAGGCGTGCTCAAAGTCTCTTAATTGTTACCATCTTGCAAGAAATAGAAAATATGTCTTTTCTGTCACAGCCCCTGCCCTATAGAACACTTTTCCCTTTGAAAGCCTCCCCTTTTAACTTCCCAGAAAGCACTCAAGGGCTGGCTTTTCCTTCAAGCATTGGAATAGGGTGAAGTCAAAGTTAGATATTATCAGGGCTTTTTTTCTCATAGAACGCCCAGAACAGAGTTCCGACAACTTTTTTGGATGGAACCTTGTAGGGTAGGCAAGGCGGGTTATATGATATGTATGAGTTCTGGCACCCCCTCCCCCCCTTTTTTTTTTTTTTTTTTTTAGAAAAAAAGCACTGGATATTATTGTGAGCTGCATTGGGACGTTTGATTGTGGTGCCAATTTCTTCTGTTCTTAGATTTGTGTTTTGTTTCTACTATTTAAATACATTATGCTTTGGTTGCGAGCCACCCAAAGTTTGGTTTTAAGACAGTAGGCATATATTTTAATTAACTAATTAAAAGTACATAATTTTAAACATTAACTAATTTTAAAATAATGTACTTTTAATTAGTTAATTAAAATATATGCCTACCGTTTTAGTTAATGTTTAAAATTAGTTGAAAGTATCACTGAGGCCAACTGAGATTCAGGACAAGTGTAGACATGTGACTGAATAAGCAGAATGCTAGTAGTTAAAATACCAATACTGACATTTCCTAGTTATTAAGATTATGAAGAAACTGTTATTAATTCATATAATTTCTTTTACCTCATCACCCACCATCAGTTGTAAAATCAATATAGGATTTATTTTATTAGTTCTGAGACATTTGTTCTTGGATAAATGTAGATAAATATTATTTTCTTAATGAAGAATGGCAGAAAATATACATGCTCTTTCACACATATATCCATAATTAGATGTATAAAGAACATAATATTTAACAGAACAGAAGAAAATTATAATAGCTGCTGAATAGCCATTAAGAATCATACCAAATAATCAGTCTTAAGACAAACGTAAGTAGAATATCCACATTTTCACAGCAAGTATTTATTTTTGAGAAAGGGTAAAGAAGATAAATTGTTTCAGCTACAGCAACTTACTGAGCTTATATTAAAAAAAAAGTGGACGTCTCTTAGTAGCCCCTGCAGAGCCAGTGATAATGGATGCTGAGAACTGTAGTTCACCAACATCTGGCGTTTTTCATTGGCTATCCAAGTGCTTCTCAAGCACTTTTTCCAAGGCTGTTGCAACTTTGAACCATTCATTAAACAAAGAGACATAAGTCAAGGACTGCCTGTAGTTGTTGAGCTTCTGGTATACTAAAACAAAACAGAAACAGGTTTTTTTTTTCCCCATAAAATATGCCCTTTTAGAAAACTGAAGTTGTTTTATTCAGGAAGGTTTAATAAACAAATCTATAGAAGTAGAATAAACAGATCTATAGAAGTACTTAGAGAAAAAAAAACAACTTGGCAATTCAGATAATTTTTCTGAAAATATTAAGTGCTATGAACATACTGACTAGTTTCCCCTATCAGGTTATATCATAAAATAATTCGTTTGGTGTTGGCATAGTTGCACGAAATGTATTCATTTGACAGTTGATATATGAATCCATCTTTTAAAACACACTCTAGTAAGCTGATAAGGAGTTTTCCACAATAATGATGATGATAATGATTTATTAAACTTGTATGCTATCCAACTCAATGTCTATGTGAATATTTCAAATTACATGTAGAACAAGAAAATTTGAAATGTGTAGTTAATTTTAAAAGACCTTTTTAAGATTCCATGTCTATATTTTCACCCAGTGTAACTTTATAAATTTACTACAATTTATTTATTTTGTTTACCCAACTTCCAAAGGACTCTGGGAAGCTCATAATATAACAACAAATAAAAGTACAATAAACTTTTTAGGAAATACATAAAGAGGCAAGGGCTGCAAAGGGGGTGGCAGTTCAGTGTTCTAAAGAAATTCTTTGATGACATCTTAAAATAATATAGCTTGGATGTAGATTGTCAAAAGAAGTCATTATATGCTAAAGAAAGAGGAATATTTTTGTTGTTTCACTGCATAACTTGTTTTTTGAAAGAACAGTATTCCTTTGCTTTTTATACCTTAAGCATCCCAATATGTCTGCATGTGTAATATTTTTTTGTTCCATTCAGTTGTGTCCAATTTTTAGAGACTGCATTTTCAATTTAGCAAAATTGTTCTGACAAGAATCTAAAGTGTATTATTGATATTAAATATCTTTATAGATAGGAAGAGTGTAATCTCTTAGAAGAAAATATGCAAGATGCAGAATAAACAAAATCTTAAATATCTGCTCCAAGCTCAGCACACTGTTTGTCTGATATGTGATTTGCTAATGATTCTATGATGTCAAGTAGAAGAGGTTGACTGAGAGACCGAAGATTTGGCAGCTTGGATACCTTCAACAGATGAGATAAAGGGGAAATGGTTAGTTATTATCATGAATCCAGTAATATGTTTTGTACAAACTAATATTTTATTTTTTCAACTGAGCATAATGAACCTAATCTTAATACAGAAAACTAATGTAATGGAACATGTTTTTCCTTCCATGAAACAAGCAAGTTTAGCAATAATGAGAAGACACAGTTAATATTTAAGATTTTCTATTGCTTTGTTCTAGCTTTCATTCCGGCAAGATGTAGCTTTTGAAAATTAGTGATGAGATTCTTGAAAAAAATCAATAAAGACGTTTAAATAATGGATTTTAACAGATGAAATCTTAAAATATTAACATGTTTATAGTGCTTAAAAATTTAAATAATTAAAAATATAGCTAAATACAATAAATCCAATCTCCAAAGCCAATTTCTATTTTTAAAAGGGAAATATAGTTTGGATTTAGTAAGAAAATTCTTGATGACTTCCCAAATATCAGTCAATCTGTGTATTATTACAGAATATTTCTACAAGTATAGCCTTGTAGAACTGCATTGTAACCAACCTGAAAAAAAAGTAATAATAAACATGGCTTCCAATTGATCCTATTGTAATTAAATGCTGTATCTTTCTCTAGCCCTAATAGACTTGTGCTATGGATTTTGAATTATTTTCCCTCTGATCATATAACTTGTCTATGCTATATCACAACCATTACATTTCAAGGTCAAATTTTATACAATGCATATCTGGACAAAGATAGGAAGAGCTGCTATTAATGAAACATAGGAGCTCTTTCTATCTTTGTCCAGCTAGGCAAAGTATAAAAATTGACCTTGAAATGTAATGATTATGATATTGCATAGATGAGTTATGCTACTGTAAGAGTTGCTATTATTGAAACATAAAGGGGTGCAGTGGTGCAACGGCTTAAAGACATGAATTTGTAAGCCAGAGATGGTCAGCATTCCAGCGGTTCAAGCCCACAGGACCACCTGGTGGAGTGAGCTCCCATCATTTGCTTCTAGCTTCTGCCAACCTAACAGTTTGAAAGCATGTAAAAATTCAAGAAGATAAAAAGGTACCACTTTGGTGGGAAAAACTAGTGATGTTTCATGCAGAAGCTGGTGCCAGACCTGCCTAGATGCGAGGTGAGATCGGCAGAAGCCAGATGACCTGACATCTCCCCCAAACATTGCAAGCCAGCATGTACTGTGGATAGCACACATGCACAAACAAAATGAACTACGGTAGCAGTCTTAGGCTACCAAAACTACTCTGTGGTTAAAAAGCACTGTAGGCTTCCTTGGCTATGTACACCACACACTAAAAATAAAAAAAGAAACATATAACTAAACTCTTCTGTAGAATTAATTTCACACTTGTAAACAATGTAAATGTAATATATAATTTAATTATAATACGGTCTTAATTGTAGGACACGTATTCGTCTTATAAAGAATTAAATATAAATATTATACACATGCACACGCTTATATGTATCAATATATTACAAGACCAATACTAACAGAAGAACGAAGAACAGGAAACATTTAAAGGGAGACATTGGGTAAGGAACACTGAAGATTAATCAAGGCAGATTAAAAATGCATAGCAAACAATCCAAAGGGAGCAACAAGAATGAAAATGAGGACTACCTTAAGCTGTTTTCAACCATGGCAGTGAAAGAGGACAGCAGATGCCCAGAACCCCAGAAAACATCCAACCAACCTTGGTGAACTGGTGAACAATGATATATAGGCAATGTCTCTTCATGTCCAGTGCCTGGGTCCTGTCAGCTGCCTCTAAAATCTGAAGAAAAAAAAATACAAATTTCTTGCATCAAAATGACTCTATAAGCTAAGGCTTGGGTCTGTGAAGGAAGGAAAACAGAGCTTTACCAGTGTTATTTTTTGCTGAGAAAAAATTAGCCACTTGTGGAATTGTGCCATGTGACCCAGCAACAGAGCAGCCTGTGCTCCTTCCTACTCGACCTTCTGAGCTCTAGAGATCTTCAAAAAGTATGTGAGCGATCAGTGACAGAGTGGGGAGGCATGTGTGGAACCCAATGGGTTGGCAAAGCAGGCCCAGTGCCTGTGGGGACCCAGCAGGGCAGAATGGGGGAGAGAAAAAAGTGGTAGGGTGGCATGCTGCAGCATCTCTGTAGACAGTGGTAAGAGCGAATGAGTGCAGGAGTGACACCGTGGAAATAACTTCGGGACTGAGTCATAAGTATCTTTTAGGTGGTCTGTTGTAACTTTGAACGGTTGCTAACTGACCAGTCATAAATCAAGGACTACCTATATTTCCAACGTGCCATATGCCTATAGATATTCTCCAAACCATATTTTGCTTTCAAACCAAATCTCTTTACAGTCTTACTAAATACACATATAACAAACTCTACAGAAGTTTAGCATCCTTGAGCTTCATAAAATCATAGAACCAGATACATTTTGAATGGCAGGGTCTAGTTTAATGACTTATCAGCTTTACAGTGTTGGGGAAGTATATGATGGCTCTGGTCTCCCAGGGATTCTTCAGAGCATGGGGCCATTCAGATACTAAGATTTGTCCTATATAATCTGAAATCATCTGCTGATTTGCCAATTGGCCATTTTCCATGATTTGAGATGATTCATATGAATGAAAGGGGACTGCACTATTATAACCCACACAATGTATAATTTACCTACCATTCTTGCATAAAACCAGTAAAGAACAAAAGGAATTGGTAATTCACTACAATTAAATATTTAGAAATATTTAATGAATGAACCACATTTTTCCTAATTAGGAAATATGGATATTCTTTATCATCGTTTTAAGATATATTAAATATTTGTATATTACAATTTTTTGTAATATATTTTTTGTAATCAATAATTTCAAAAAAGGAATGCACTGAACTCTATATTGATCATGGAGATAGGTAGACCATAGAGAGAGATAAATCTAGAAACCAATCAGACCATACAGTCCTATCTTGCAAACTCTGCAGTACTTATTTTTGGAACTTTCAACTGATTATTCCCTAGAAAAAATATATTGAGATAATTACAATTAGTTCCAAATTGATTCATTAGTAGAAATTACCTGAAGCACATTTTCCACAGTGACATTCATTTCCAGATTCTGCTTGCAATATGCTTGAAGACGATTATTATAGAACCCATAATAATAAGGGGCAGCAAAGAGGTAGCTAAAAAAACAGTTAAAGAGAATTCGTGTTTCATATTATAAGGATACAAGCACCATAAACCGAAGCAGAATAGCAATAAGGACAAACAAAGATTTGACCTCTGCTTATATTCTCTCTAGTGTGTTATTGTTCTAATTGCAGCTGGATAATTGAAAATTATCTTTGGCTCTGGGCCATGCACACATGCATATTGCTGCCATTTCAGCTATATTATATGTGCAGCAGCTGTTTCCCGATTCTCCATGAAGTCAAGTGTACAGAAAGGAGATGGTGTAAGCAAAATAAAAACCCAGAATTGATGTGTTGGTAGAAGATTATTTCTTATGATGAGCCACCAACAATCTATTTCCTTGCCTGAGGAATTATAATCTGAATAGTGGAAAATTAGTGGACTGGTTCTAGATCTGACTGTGATGCTTCTTCTATTTTCAGTAGGAATCAGAATCTGCTGGAAGTGGATTTTCAGGAGACAAAGAGCTTTCCAACGGGAAGAACAATGAAAATATGGAGGCTCCATTTCCTTCCTGCAACTATTGAGTGTTTTAAAGCAGGGGTCCCTAACCCCTGGTCTGTGGACTGGTACTGGGCTGCGGCATGCCAGCAACCGGTCCACACAAACAAGCGAACCCCATCCGTGGAATGCAGGCAGCACACAAAACCAGTCTGTGGAAAAAAACCTTTTTCCACAGAACCAGTCCCTGGTGCCCAAAAGGCCGATGACTTCTGTTTTAAAGCTGTCAAGTCTTAGTAGACTAGGGACAAGTTGACAGGAAAAAAGATCCTGTTATTAACTTTGGAGTTAACATTCATAAAACAGGATCTCTATAGTAAGTATTTATTTGTACTCTTCTATTCTATCCTACAAGATTCACAGAATCCCTATTCAGGATATTTATTACCAAAGATTATAAATTAACCTGTATATAATGCTGCATCCAGAGTTGTACAAAATGAGCGGTACCTGTAATTACTGTGGGTTTTGTCCTGGCACCACTCATTTTGGTTTGTAGTCCCTGGCATATGGAAAGAGTATGCCCTCAGCTAGAAAACACTGAGAATCTCTGTTGTAATACCTAACATGAGTAGCATATTAAACCAGATAAAGGATACAGGGAATCTTCAGGAGGCATATTCACTTCACCATAATAAATATATCGTAGCATAGATTCAAATGCTTGTTTGCTTGGCACCATCTCACCAATTGAAATATTAACTTGGCCATCTTCTGGCATAAAAGAACGAAACATGGCTTCAAAGTAACTGGGGAAAAAAGGAAGAAACAGATTGTGTCACTGGTTGGTTGTTCAACAAATAAAATAAAGAGAAGAGAATGAAATACTGGAGCATTTTTAAATGTTGCTTTAAAAATTTTGTTTCTCAAATGCAACCAATTTACAGTGTTTTTAAACTTACAAGGGTTTTATACAATATTATTCATACACCCCATGCAGATGGGAAGTTCAGAAACATGAATGAATGAATAGATGGATGAATAAATAATAAATTTAAATAAATAAAATTATTCAACATTTCTTATCAAACATTTCTATTTTTCACTGTATTTTTAATGTATGGTACAGGAGGGCAGCCTGATATATATATATCAATAAAAGTTCTGCATTCAAAATATTGAAGTCTCCTTCTGTTCAGAATAGCTGGGAATCATGCAAGCTTCAGCCTAATTTTTATCTTACAATAAAAAGAAGTCAAAATAAGAAATTATATTTTAACATCTGTATAATTTTATATAATGGATTATTAAAATGTAAAACATACCTAGAGCGAGCTGCAAGAATAGCTTTATGAGCTGGTCTTGGATGACCATCTAATAGTAGAATGATATCACAGAATTCTAGACCAGCACCTTCCAAATAGGCTTTCATATCCTGAATCAATGACGTTCCTGCACAGGAACATAAAAGATTTGCCCAAGACGTTAAAAATTATTGACTTAATTATATCAGAACAGCTAGAAATGACTTGCAATTATGTACGGTATCCACCTTTTCAGTGCAATATAATGCCATAGGAAGATCAATAGGAGTTTTATAATATTTGATAATCTAAGGTACCAAATTCCCCAAGTCAAGTTACTAACTATAGACATGTTCACATAGTTTTCTTGGGAACAATGTAGAACTGATTTGCAATTGCCTTCTACCAGGAAGATTTTTTTTCAATGTCTGTTTCCCTGAATCGTTTTTTTAAAGCCAAAGTAAGCTACAAGCTATTGTACTTTTTCTAAATTCTGAGACAACAAATTGACTAGCTAAGGAAAATAGTTAACAGATACGAATTACTGCACAGTAGAGTTACAAAGCTGATATACCTGGGGGAAGTTTGAAAATTTTTAATTGGCAAAATATTAATTACTTCTCATAGTGATAAGCTTTTTTTCATCCCAAGCAAACTGATCATAATCAGCAGATATACTTGGAAAATATAATTGGAGATATGAAAAACACATTTTCATTTTTTCCTCCTATAGAATGACCGCAGGATTGTCATTATCACCCTGCAAAATGCTGTGGCTTTAAATTGAAAGAGAACACCATATCAGTTTTAGCAATAAGAGGCAGTTAGACAAGCTATGTACCTGTAGGTGCTACTACAGGTATTCCTTAACTTATTACCATTTTAAAGGACAGTTTGAAGTTTCGATGGCACTGAAAAAAGTGAGTTATGTCTTCAAATTTATGGTCCTATAGTCCCATGATTGCAATTCAGGCACTTAGCGAGCAACTCACATTTACAACAGTTGCAGTCATCTTAACCCTTCCCAACCGGCTTCCAGCAAGCAAAGTCAATGGGGGAAGTCAAATTCACTTAACAACTGCATGATTCACTTATCAGCCACATGATTTGCTAAACAACTGCGGTAACGTAAAATCAGGTCTGGTCACATGATGACTCACTTAATGACTGCATCACTTAGAGACCAAAATTGTGATGTCAATTATGGTCATAAGTCAAGGACTACCTATAGTATATAATGAATGTTGTTTAGCTTAGACTTTAGAACAGCTGTACTGTAATTCAGTTCATTTATCTGAGACAATAATGGGAGGTTAAAAATGAAGACATTTTTCTCCAAACATTATCCTTTATTGGTTAGGTCATCATAAGATCTAGAATCATCCATCTTTTTTCCCCACCTATAAAATTATGTAGAATCTTACTTATGATTTCAAATTCATTTTATTTCAAAACTGAACATTTATGGATTTTAATTCTATCTTGTACTCCAGACTTCTATAATTTATACACAGACTGTAGCGTGAAAACAATAGTTCATTTTAGATGGAAGGTACATTACCAATATCAAGAGGCTGATCAGAATGTGTTCGAAATGGAGGTTGCTGTTTTCTTCGTACTATCTCTACTATCAAAGATGAAGAAAGGTGTTCAAATTCTTTCATCATTATTACCTGATTAAAGTGTGATTCTTTTACCACAAAATTCAGACAGTGTTCCTAAAAAAAAAAAAAAGCATACATGTGCATATGAGTACATATACATAGCCCTACATTGTAAGAAAATCATGTTTGGAACATTTTTTCTACAATTTCAAACAATTGTAGAAAAATTCTACAATATAATAGAATAAAAATTCTACAATATAGTAAAGTATAAATGATTGGTTTTGCAAGCATTACAGTTAACGCTGCAATGTTTATAGAAGCTAATTCTGAAAGATTCAAATTCAGAAATTACACATCTCTTTTCCTTTGATTCTTGCCAATGTTCTTTAACAGAGTCTCTCTAAATAGGGAAAATATTGGCTTGCATACCTTCTCCTTTAGTTGCAACACCTACTTTTCTATTTTATTTAACCAATAGGATCAGGTCCATTTACTTTTTATTTTCCAATAGAGCTAAAATCTCCCTTAAATAATTCAAGTTTGCATAGTTTACAGATACATGAACAATGGAAAAAAGCTGAAACACAGGCAAGAATGGGTGGTTTCATTCAAGAAAAGTACTTGAAAATTGATTGCCTGGTACCAAAATTTTCAAGTTAGTTTAAAATGAAACAGTTTTACATATGAAAATTCATTAATTCTACACGCACACGTGCATGTGCATACGCGCGTGCACACACCCACACACCTTGGAAGTGTTTGCCATTGCCTCGCGTGCATGTGCACACGTGCACACACACACACACACCTTGGAAGTGGTTTGCCATTGCCTACTTCCTAACACTAACAGTCAGTGACTGACCCATGGTCATGCTACTGGCTTTGTGCCCAAGGCAGAACTAGAACTCACAACCTCCTGACTTCTAGCCAGTGCTTTCACCACAGGCTGTAATTTTCCAAAAAACCTACCTTCAGCTGATCCAGCTGAAGTTTGTTTGCATTTTCACATACAACAAGTACATTCTGCAGATCTACTGAAGCCTCAATGTATTGGACACAGAGTTGTTCCAGTCGGGATAGTTTGAAGTTAAGTGCCAACTTGTACACATCCATGATGAGCAGAACATCTTGCACATGCCCTATGCAACAATGACAAAAAAATAAATTCATTGCACATATTGCAAAGAATGTGACAGGTGAGAAAGCAGGCAGGAAAGAAAATTATTTGATTCCCAATGTTAATATTGCAATAATGAGGCTCTAAAGCAGACATGTCAAACACAAGGGCCGGGGGCTGGATGTGGCCCGTGAAGTGGTTTCATGTGGCCCACGAAGCCATCCTGGAAACAGTGAGGTAACAGCCCCCGCTGCCTTGGCCCTGGCCCAGGCCGTCCAGGAGCCAATGTACAATTTTGTGGTGGCCATCTATGCTGAAACGCATTCAGTCTTAGCTCCACAAGGCCATCTGGAAACAGCGAGAAACCAGCCCCTGCCGCGTTAGCACCGCCCCCTGGGTGCATGCTGGAATGAAGAAATGGACCATGCCTTGGCACTTGCCCCGGTCCCACCCCCTTCTGCCAGAGACCCTCAGATCTGTCCCACTTGTACCCAGGCCCCCACAGGCACCCTTGACGCGAACGATGTAGAGCTGGCCATGCCCACCCAGTAGGCTGTACCCACCCTGGCCACACCCACCCAGCCCCCCGAGGGCAATTGCAATGCTGATGTGGTCCTCAATGAAATTGAGTTTGACACCCCTGCTCTAAAGGCCTATATTAAAATGCTGTTAAAGCATGCATGTTCCTTTATGTTAAGAAATACAATACAGAGCAACAAAATACAAAAAGATGAAAACATTGCGGTGGAAGACAAGAGATATCTGTATCATCCTGACTGCAGTGGAACCTGCCTATTACAATTCTAAGTTGTGGCAGTCATTAATACTCACCTAATTGCCTCACTTAATGACCACAATTGCTGCATTCCCTGTTGTGGTCATTAAATGACAGTACAGGTCATTAGTATAGCACAGGGTATCTCATCGGATGGTGGAGGCCCTGGGAGGCCAGGGTCTGCACTGCAGCATTTTTTGGTGCTCTCTCTAAACTCTTCTTGGATTTTTGGCTCCCTCTTGTCTCTGGGGGCTGGCTGAAAGATCTGCCTGCCAAAGGATTTCAGCTCCTCTCTGGCATTGGAAAGGATCTCCTTCAGTTCTGCTCCTGCACCCCACCAAAGGAGTTCAGCTTTTCTCGATGGGCAGCTTTTTCAGCCAACCCCCAGAGGGACGTCAGCAGAGAAGATTGCAGATGACAAACACATGGAGTTTGTTTTAAGTCCAAACAGGTTGCCAAGGATCCTGATTGTGATCGTGTCACTGTGGTGATAAGGGTGCAACGTTTTGCAACATCTGGAAATGCTTTGTGGGTCATAAAGCATCCTTTCTGAGGCTGTTGTAATTCTGGACCACCATTAAACAAATGGTCAAACACTATCTTTATTCTGATCAGTAGTAGTTCTCTAGATTCCTGGTCACAATAAAGATCTTGCAAGATGAATCTTTAAGCTGGACAGCTACTAGCTTAATCTAGAAACACTGGCCTATAAAGCACATGTTCTGGTACTGCATATAGCAGTGGTGGCAAACCTATGGCACGCGTGCCAGAGGCGGCACTCAGAGCCCTCTATGTGGGCACATGTGCCGTTGCCCCAGCCTCACCTACCCCCACAACCCCCTCACCAGCAGCCCCCCTGGAGGAGAGTCACCCCTGAGCATGGCCCACACGAAGCATCACAGCCAAGGACATGGCAGCCAGGCAGCGTAGACAAGACTCTGCCCTCATGCCCCATCCCACACAGTTGATGCTACGGGGTGCAGCCAGAGGGCGTGACCATGGCGCTGCTGGGCCGCTTGGGCGATCTGCGGTGGGCCCTGGAGGCAGTGAGTGGCTCTGCGGGCAGGTGGAGTGGGTGATGGGGTGGGGGGCGGAGCAGGGGGTGGAGTGGGGGGTGGAGCAGGGGCAGGGCCACTTTTGGGGCACTCGGTCTCTAAAAGGTCCACCATCACTGGCATATAGGCTTTTAAAAATTATTGCTTAAAAATCTGATCACAAAATTCTGCTCTGTAAGTAGGCTACTTGCTTGGGGAACACAAACAGGGAGGGATAATAAGAAGTGATAAAATAACTACTTTGCTCAAGCCTTTACCTAAATGCTTTTCCTGTTCAAGAGTATAATATAGGAAAGCACTTGGCTTATTATCTCCTGGACAGACATTGTGCTCCCCCTTTCTTTCCTTTTTCTTCTTCTTATTCCTTGGTATTCCATCTCCCTTTAAGCTCAAAGGCACAAATTCTCAACACATCTCAGCTGAGAATTCATAGTCTCAATATTCAGTCTGCTGCTGGAGGTTCTTAAATATTTTTTAAGATTTGCTTTAAGAACTTTGAGAATTTAAGGTTCTTAAATATTTCCTACAAATATTTCTTGTAATGTTAGGAAAAGGCACCTTTCAATCGGCAGCTATTACCCCCGATTGCTGAGGATTTCTAATGCACATTTTGCTCAAAGTTTCACAAATCATGTTGGGAACACGTCAGAAGCACAGCCATATTCTGATCTTTTCTGTGACAGACAGGCATAAGTGTATTAAAATTTGCTGCAGATGGCGATCACATGAAATTTGTATATGGTTTAGATATCCTAAGCCTCTGTCATTAGTCACGTTAGTTTTTTTTCTTTCTTAGAAAGACGAATTCCAGAAAGAGACAGAGAAAATGTGCACTACTTTTCTTAGGAAGCAATTCTACTATTCTACCTTTGCGTGGGTATTTGATTTTGTCTGTGTAAAGGAACTGCATGAGCACTTCAAAGGGCTGAGCTTCCGCTTCCCGGATTGTCACTTCCAGCAGCGGCTGCAGGCGACCCATCTTTACATTGTTGCCTGCCATTTCCTTTTGGGGCATCTCTTGTCCTTCCTCATTAACCTCTTGCTTAGATTTCTAATAAAGAGAAGGAAAAGTTAGGGTTAAGGTTATCTAAAAGTTAGGCTTATCTAAACTTTACAAAAATAAATAAACAAAAGTCAAGCCAAATAATGCTGCAAAATGAAGCAGTTACACGGTTGTTTATATAGTCCTGCATGTAGATAAGTACTAAATAAATTTGCCATTATTTTTGCTTTACCTGGTTATTAAAATTAAGGTATATTCTAATACAAATGGCAAGCTAAATCTAATAACAGTATACTGTATATTTTAAGATTTACCCAAATGTTACATCCTGCTGTAGGTACTGAAAAAAGAAATCACCCATCGCTTCTAGATTACTTTTTAATTGAATGCCATTGGATTAATCATATAACAGGTTCGACTAGTTAACATGAAAGCATCTATTTGTAGCTCTTTCTCTAATGCCTAAATAATATTAGTGACTTGTAACCCTCCTATCCATTTGTTTCAAGTTAAGTATGGATCAAAATATACTGTGAATGGAGTTAATGACAAAACATAATCCTTAAACTTTAGCTAAACCATGACAACTTTCTCTAGTTAATTCCAGTAGTAATATCCTTGGTTGTATGCTTGTTACAGTAATATATTGCTATAAACAAATCACAAACAAATGGCCTGATGGATTTATTCTTGGAGAGGAAAGCCGATTGCTGCAAACAAACATATTTATTCTAACTTATTTTTATGGTTAAATATTCAACAATTTACATGTTGGCCTAATTTACCCCAGAAGATAAATTGGAAAATGGGGATCCAATAAGTATTTGTAATAAATCATACCTGTTTCAGCCTTTCTTTTGCCTGTGTAATTTTCTTCCTGAGCCATTTACAGCGAGCTGTGACAATAGCTGTATGCCCTCGGACCCTCTCTTCTTTCTGTCAGTAATAAGGAGACAGCATGGAAAAAGAATATCAGGATTTTACTGATCAATGAACCCTAAAAAATTCTATATATTGGAAATTTAGCCAGTTTTTGAGTAAAAAAACATTGTTTATTTTTATTGAAAAAGACTAGTTACAATTATTAATTCACTATGAATGATCATTTGGGCAGTCACTCATATAGGTTCTGTATCTGCACAAGATGTATTTTAGGAAGCTTCTACAACTGTGAAAAAAATCTGAAAGAGTATCCTCCCTATTTTCAAGAGGACTAATTCTATTCAGTTCTCATCTAATACAGCAGCAATAAAATTGAAGCAAATTAGAGAAATGATGAATAAAAACCTGCAATGCAGTAGCCTGTGTGAACATAAAACCACTTGAACTCTAAACATATAGAGAAACAATTTGTTTTTCTTTATGTTCTCTGATAATTATGGATAGGGGCTGAAAGAAAAATTCACTTTTCCAGTGGATGAACAGATATTACAAAGCCAAGGAAATGAGTACTATATAGGCTGAGATATAGCAAACCAATAAGACAGTTCATCTATGGTATGTATATACCATATATTCCGGCGTATAAGACGACTTTTGAGAGCGATGAAACAGCCTCTGAACTCGGGGGTCGTCTTATACGCCGAGTCATAACGTTTATTTATTTATTTATTATTTCCGGCGTATAAGATGACGTTCTAGGCATGCGACTCGGTGTCGATCATCTTATCCGCCGGAAATGACGTCATTTCCGGCGTATAAGATGATCGACACCGAGTCGCATGCCTAGAAAGTCATCTTATACGCCGGAAATGACGTCATTTCCGGCGTATAAGATGATTGACGCCGAGTCGCATGCCTAGAAAGTCGTCTTATATGCGACTCGGCGTCGATCGTCTTGCGACCCGGCGTCGAACTCGGGGGTCGTCTTATACGCCGGGTCGCCTAATAAGCCGGCATATACGGTATAAGGAGTAACTATTTCATTGACATTCTTCTGGAATCAAGATTGATAATAACTATATTGGCAATGGAGAAGTATCTGTTCTTAAGGTTCTGAAAACCGCTATCTTTAGCTGTTGTTCATGTCTCAAAAGCAGAGATGACAATAAAACACATTTTTCACTTTCTCAGCTTTCTTTTAAGCATTAGAAGAAATTCCCTAATACAGGGATCCCCAACACCTGGGCCATGCAAACAGCGGGCCAGCACGCATGTGCGCACGCAGCTAAACTTGCACAAGCATCGGGCCAACGTGTGTACACATGCACCTAGCTCAACTTGCGTAAGTTGAGCTGTATGCGCACGCATATGCCACCAGCCTGCCATTCACGCATGTTGAGCTGTGCACACATGTGCACCGGCCTGCTCTTCCTCCCAGCTGGGCTGCCAAGCCACAAAGGTTGGGGATCACAGGAGCTGTGAAGAAATAGAACAGACTGTTTTAGTTGTGAACTCAAGTTCACTACATGCATTTTAGCAGAAGTTAGAAGTCTGTCTGTTTGGTATACCATTGTAACATTTTGCATGATAAATCTTACACTGATCAAGAACTTGCAGGTGATCTCTAAGATTAAATATCAACACTGACTTTATGTTTCTATATCACACTGGAATTTATACCACCAATTCGTTCTTGCTCTCCAATGTTATTACACACTTGCATAGACTAAGTACAGTGCAACTTTTCTTTATCAAAACAATAGGGAAATCAAACACAGCATCTTTTCAAGCCCCTTATCAGCAGTTAATACAACCATATTGACAAATACAGACGAAGTACATAGAATATAGATAATGGATCATGTAGACATATATTTACTGTGGAGAAAACTTTTCAGCCATGTTATTAGAATTCACTTACCTCCCCAAGTACAAATTCTAGATCACTGAACTGCCTGTTTTCCCATAGTCTTCCATAGTCATCATGTAAAGTACATTTTGGATAACAAGAAAACTGAAATCAAGAGTTATTGCTGTGTTACTATTTGAAATGGGAAGTTTTATTGCTACGAACCATAGTATGGCATGAACAGATTACATAAGTGTTATTAACTTTTTATGTCATTGAACCAATATAATGCTTCCTTATTTAGAAGATTTAACTCCATTTGCTCTACAGCATTTTCATAAGAATGAAAAACTTTAACCTAATTAATTTATGCATACAGGAAATGTTATGCAGAATACAGAAAATGGGCAATAAATAGTATAAGAAAGAAACTAATGGTATGAGATAAGATAAAGGAAAGGAAATAGTAGCATAGGTGGTTTCTTGAAACACAACCATAAGGAGACAACTCTACATGAAAAAGTTATATACATGAAATATTAGAAATTTACAGCACAAACTGTTCAGAAGACCCAGGAATAAAATTAGAGAGCTTGCAATGTCAGAAACTACTCAATTTTACACAAAAAGAAAAATGGTCTGAAAAGTGGTGGGAGAACACAAGTTCATATATGAAATCACATCAGCTGGATTCTAAATTTCTGTGAATGAAAATAACTCTGCTAGATCTTGATGCTTCCTTAGTGTAATAACTTTACACTTTAACTTGTTTCTGGGAAAAGTTAACATTGCTCTCAACCTGTGCATCAGATCTCAACTAGCTAAAGACAGAATGAAACATTTCCATTATATTCCATAAAAAAGAATTTGTAATATTTATATATCTCCCTACAACTCAATATAAGATATAGCAGTCTCTTCCTGACCAAAGGGTAATGCTCCAAAACAGAATTCTATGAAGACAATATGAATAGTGCTGACGTTATTTGATTTATTATTATTATTCCTATGAGGCAAATACTAAACACAAAAAAATATTTTAAAAGTTGTTCACTGTCAAAATTCAAAGTAATAAGCCTTATCTTCTTATATTAATTGATGACCAATGCTTTCAATATATTACCTGAAATCTATACATTTCTCCACTTCTGATGTTATTGTCCACTGTCCCGCCAAAGATATACATGGCATCACAGATAACAGCTGCAGCATGGAAGAGTCTTCCAGTTGGTAACTAGAAACAAAGAATGCAAAATATTCCCTTTACAAATATTACAGTGCACAACCTCAAACTCAATTTTCTTCACTGGTGCTCTGTAACCAATGTTTTCTGGCTGTAAAATCAGTTTTCAAGGCCTAAGATTCAACACAACTGTGTGGGAAATACAGCACATATGCTGAGCCACTATCATATATAGATATACTATGTACTGGTCAGTTCATACTTAAAAAGGAATATTATTAATAAGATCCCTTAATATCATACTAGTCATAAGAAAGAATAGATATATCCCCTATAACTTTGTTTACCACTTCACAATGCTCCACCTCTCACCAATAGACTAGCTGTGATTTAAATGCCCTTTTTATCCAGGAAAAGACCCAATAAAACACATACACACATTGCATAGCATCCATTTCCTTAATGGATCTGAGAAGCTTACAAAAGTGCAATAAAACACAAACATTAAAACAAGACATAAAAAACTAAACTAAAAATTTAACATATTCAGCATTAAAACTGTAAAATATTGAAGGGCCTGAGTGAATATTTTTATTCCCTTCCTAAGCTGTAATATAATCTTTTTTCAATTCTAGTGGTAATTTGTTCCATGTTTAATAACAGCATTTATACTATTTTTATTATTTATTTTTCCTTATAATTCTTTCTCTCATATATGAAATCTATTTGTTAAATCAGAGATTTTGCAAAGATAATTAAAGGCAATTAATTATATTCTTACCTCACTATCTGGACTTGGATGGATAACTTCCCATGTCTGAGAGTCAACATCATAACAATGAAGTTCATTAGGCAATGTATTGTCTGCAGCACCACCAAACACATATAGATGACGATCAAAAGCAACCATTGTGTGACCATATCTCCTTTGGGGAGGAGGTGGAGACCCCCGCAGTAAGTGTTCGGTAGGGATTCGTGTCCAACTGACATTTTAAAAAAGAAACAGTATTTATTAATTGAATTTTTAGAGTTTCATTTTCTAAACTAGGAATACACTAAGCTGCATCCAGGCCCAACAACTCCTCCAACAATTGTCATGCTTCACAGAAAGGAAAATTATAATAACGATTTTATAATTATTATAAAATTATAATGATTAAATATTTGAATAATAATAAACTGTATAGCTAAATCCATGTAGGTCTATTGCTTTAATATATATAACAACAGAAATACAGAAGTAATCAGTATTACTTCAAGTAAACTAAATTCTATAGTCTACTCCTGTGACCCAGTTTGATATTGCAGTTAAGCTACTGGACTGGAAACTGGGAGACTGAGTTCTAGTCCCACAGAAGCACAAAGGCAGATGGGCGACCTTGGGCCTGTCGCTCTCTCACATCCTAGGAAGAAAGCAATGGCAAGCTACTTTCAAAAACTCTTGCCAAGAAAAGTGCAGGGGATTGTCCAGGCAGTCATCAGGAGTCAAAAACAGAATTGAAGGCACACACACACACACACACCCTCAGAGCCCTCTCCTGGTTTTCATTTTCAGTAGCATTTTCTTCAATGTTTCCATTGAACTTTATTTCCCTCAAAACTGACAATTTTCTCCTGGTATACCTTATAGAAATGTATTTATTTATTAGACATATTTCTATGCTACTGCAATCAAAATGATTTTTGGCCTATTAAAAAGAAAAAAATATAATGTAAGATATAGAACAAAAATAAAAACATAATGGCATTACAAGAATAAAAAGATGTTAGAATAAAAAGATGGCAACGTCAGATAAAATCAGGGGAATGCTTTCCAAATCAATTTTCAAGAACTTTTGAATTTAAATTACAGTAAACATTTCTATAGATATATCTATGATACTCATTCATAAACTTATTTGATTTTGCTCAGTTATATTTCCTACATACATTTTTTCTTTGAATTCAAATTGAAAAAGGTTATTGGTAATCTTTGCTCCACTCTGGCCAGAAAAAACAAACATCCTCTCTTTGCAGACAGCTACAGGAAAATTACAGCATGAAGGGGGAATCTCACCAGTCTGTTTAATCTGAAAAGCAACACCACAAAATAAATTGCAAATGTCTTGTCTTGAAACCTGAAATCTCAGTATTTCTCTAGATCTAAATATTATAGAATCATTGTTACTTTGAAGACTGAAATGTATTGTGATTTGTTCATACTATCAAAAAATAAACAGGAACTAAACTTTTTAAATCCAGGTACTGAAAGCTCAACTACATGAGTTACATATCTGTGTACCCTTGCCAAAAGTAAAAATACATTTAATAAGCTTATGCCTAAAAATAAGGATTTCAATCTTAGTTATCCTAGGTTACAATCCAGCAGGAACAGTATATTTTAAATATAAAGAATTGCACACAATTAGCACTACGCAGCCAATACTTTGTTCAAATGTGTTTCGAAAATAGTGACAACTGTTGAATTAGAAATATCTATTTCCCCCTCCCCCATCCATCTCCAAATAGATTAACCTCAACTTTCACTGAGGAATTATATTTTAACTCAATATTTAACAATATTAAGATATTAATAGTCAGTTTTCTTACCTCTTCCCAACACGTTAAATCTCTATCTTGTAAATTAATAGTCCACATATCATTTAATCTGTATTGAAGGAAAATACACCTTTTAATATACTTTTAGGAATGTAACGGTAACAGCACAATCTATTTTATCTGAGGGAAAATTTCCAATCCAAGGCCCTAAGAGATATTAGAACTGAATATACATTATAAGTTCCCTAACAGCTCAAAATGACAAAAGCCAAAGTTCAGTAATCCCAAGGAAACTGTGGGATTTGGGGGCCAAAAGGAGTACAATGTGCAGCCTATAATCCCTGTCATTCATCTTCACCATAAGCAATTGTCATAGTCAGAGTTCCAAGACATAACGCCTGGATTTTGTGTCAAAGATTATTTCTCATCTTCTATCCCATACAGGGAAATTAATCCATGGAAAATCTGAAGGAGCTTTTTGAAAGAGGTTCTATTTTTTAGTGTAAGGAATTGATTCCAAATTCCTAAAATATGTTCAAACATTTAAAATTCAATTATCTATATTTTTAATAACCCTCCATGAATTTCTTTTGGATTAGGAAAGAATTATACTGTAGAGACAAGCAACTATCGGAAGTTGGGGAGACAGTAAAGAACTTATTATAGTCTTTAGAAATAGGTTTGGCTACATATTATATATTATTACTAATTAATTTTCTCGAGAAAAAAGGTTCCAGAAAATGGAAACAAATTTTTCCAATGAAGAAACATATGTTAGAACAACAAAGTTCATATAATTTATTTCATTTAAATTCCTTGATAAATTGCAAACAGATTAGGCCTTAATTATCAATTTCTGAATATCATAATAAAACAGTAAATTAAAATACTAATAAAGGCATGTAAGTAAATCTATCTTTCTCCTATCATATCAAGAGTCTTAAAAATGAATGGTTTTATAATTATTAATAAAAATAATCATAGCTTCAGACAAATAATGTATCTTACCGTGCATTTCCATCATATCCTGCAAAGATCCACAGTTTATCACTATAGACGGTTGCACCATGAGCTGATCTGGCAACTGGTAATCTAAAATAAAGACAAATTTACTAGTACCTTAACTGCTAATACAGTTACACAAGCATGATAAAAGGCTGATTATTACATACCTAAATGAATGAATGCTATCAACATGTAACTCTTTGGGGAATAGCTAAGTTTAGTACAGAACACCATATACTTTATCTGGCTACATGCCAGAATTTTTTACTGGAATACAGTAAGTTTGGACAAACCTACATAATATCTCTGATCTGGATGATATGTATTAGATTTGATGATGAACATATGTTTTACCTGTTTTACCTTACTATTCTTCTAATTTTATGTTAGCTGGCCAGAATTGCTTTGGATGGATGGAGAGATAGATGGATGGATAAATAATTTAGATCTCTAGATTTTGGTACTTGTAGTTTAATGAGAGCAGAAACAAACCAATACATTAAAAACTCCAGATCCTTCCTCAAGCTAAGCAAAGTGTAATTCAGTTACAGTTGCTTATCAAGAAAAAAAAAGCAACAGTTAATTGAATGTTTTCCTTTCTACATTACTGAAGTCAAATATAGAAGCAAGGTTTTAGGTTTACCTAAATCAAGAGCTGGCACATTTTAACAGCCTATTTTTTTTTTTTTTTTTAGTTTTAGTTTGATTTGGGATCCTGACTAAATAAAAGCAATTGTTCTTTATTTAGCATTATCTGCAAAACCAGTCACTGATTCCTGCCTTTTATTGATTTTTTTTTTGGGGGGGGAGGCAAAAGGATTGAAAGACTATTACCATATTGAGTTTAATGTTATTACTGTTTATCAACTGACAAGGCCAAAATTTTGAAATCTCTAGACACTTTGCAGCCTTCATAATTATATACAAAATTACTACTCTGGGTGCTGTTCTATACTTTTTACAGGTTTATGTAGTAATACATACACTCTTACCTTCCTTCAATCTTCCATTCAGTCCATTGGCCTGTTGCAAGTTTATATTCAAAAAGATCATTTTTGTTCTTCAGGTTGGAATTGGAATATATATCTCCAGTGTAGCCACCTACATAATAATGTTATTATAAAAGAGACAGTTTGCGTAATTTAATAAGTTATTACTTACAACAGGGCAATAAATATAGTTACATAAAGCAAACCAATTAATGCTTTTATAGTTCATAAAAACATACATGATATTCAGAACTTGTCATGTCTATATTGTGTAACTTATATTGATTTTTTATTTATTGGTATGTTTTGCATTATGTCTGATTACTGCACTGTTTTCGTACTGTCAGTTTTTAAGCTTATCTTGTTCCATATCAATTTTTTTTATCAGTGCTATATACATTTGTTAACTCCTCATGTTAATTCACCAAGATTCCAAATTAAGCATAGAACCCGATTTAGTGTTCAGATAACTCACCAAATACAAACATGCTGCTTCCATAAACTACTGCTGAATGGTGATACCTTGGTGCTGGTGGGGTTCCAGTAGTAAAAGCCCTATGCAGGACAACACACAACAGTACGTTGAAATTAAAAAAAATAGGTTTAATTAATATGGTACTTTAATGAAAAGACATGTAAATGTTGATTGTGTGTATTTTTAAGTTAATGTCTTTCATAGCAAAAGTGGCGAAAACAAAACAATTATAGATCAGCAAGGGTTTTCAGATTGCCTGCCATATAACAAAAAAGTTCTTTGGAGGTCCTAATTTACATCCTAGAACAAAGGAAATATTTTCACTTAACAACACTAATAATATTTTTGAAAGATGAAAGGCAGTCTGTATGAAGCACATATTTTTAAAATATTAAAGTTGTTGTGCTTTTTTCCAAATGACTGTAGCTCCTTTGGAAGCCACCTCCAACTGTCTACAAAAGGGCACAGGTGTAGATACTTTGCTTTGCATGTTTTCCAGCTCTACTAAAATAATTTTACTGGGCTAGGAATAAGATAGTTAAGTAGGTAGGTAGGTAGGTAGGTAGATAGGTAGAGCACTGTATTTCATATTTAAATTAGCAACATTTTTACATATTTTATGAATTTGCCAGTTATATGTAATTGCTCCTCTATATCAGGGGAGTCAAACTGCCAGCCCGAATGCATCATAGTGACACCACGCCCACCCCATTGCCGGCAATGGCAAAAAAGTTGTGATACGTCGCAACACGTCATGTGACGTTGCGAGTTTGACACCCCTGCTCTATATAATCTATGAACATCTTAAATATTTGTTCAGAAGAAATTTGGGCACTTGATAAAATTCTGTGATAGTATATTTTATCATTTTACTATTATAAAACATACAATGCTGAATATACTGTATTTAGTTACAACAAACTATAGTAAATGTATTTAAAGTTACATGCTCATTCTGTGAATTTTTTTAAAAGTTCAAAATTGTTTTTCTCTTTCTAACATGCTTTTAACTTATTTTGACTCCAAACCAGAACACAACAATAAAGTATATTGCCATCATGAAAAATAAATAATTTCTCATTTTATCAAATATTCAGAAGCTCTAATTCATTCAAATATTGGTAATATGGGACATTTATTAAAAATAGAAATGTACCTGCACCAAGAACAGTCCTTCACATCAAATCTTAACAAGTCATTCAACATAGTTTTCCTTCAAAGTAAGGAAAGCAATATATAAATGTATATTCAGAAGCCACAAAAATATTATTAAAGAATCTTCATAGATGAAAGAAATTTACTCATCTAAAATCTACCTATTATTTGGTTTCTAACCATTTTTAAATCAAATGAAAAACAGTAACCTCTTCAACAATTACATTAGGATAAATTTTACAAATAAATATAATTAATGGAAACAGAATAAATATTTATAACTTAAAACTTTGCTTGTTCATACTTGTTTTCTAAATGCCTCAAGCAAATGTCTTATTTATGCTTTTAATAATTTGTTTGAAAATGACACAATACTGACTCAGTAAAGGCTGTACATTTTTGGTAATAACACTACAATTCCCTTCTTTGAAATCTGTAATGGTAGAATGATATAAACCCCTTTTTATTAAAATTTATCTTAGTATCTTCAAATGTCATATTTTCAGGGCTAACAAAAGTTCTTTCATTTGCAAATTACATAGGAATTATTTTTACAGCAATCATAAAAGCAATCACTGTGCACTAGACAAAGTAAAGCATATTCAAAGTAGATGCAAATAATATTGCTATTGCACTGTCCCTTCCCATAGAGATGACCTCAGAAATTTTATATATGTTGGTAAATCCTTAAGCATGCATTTTCTGAAACAATGTGTATATTCTAGCTAAAGATCTATTACTCTCATGTTGAATGGAGACAATTCCAATTTAAGTGGAAACTCAGACAGATAGACTGTTCATATTCTACTAGACTGACTGACCGTCTTGGATATTCCTGTCACAATTTTTAGCCTACATATTACATCGATATATTGGATATGATCACAATTTCCAGTCAGTTGAATTATATTCACATTTTTTCCAGACCTTGAAAACTTGGTTCCTGTGCCTAAAACCTGGGCCCTGGCCATGATAGAGCCTGTCTAGTGGCTGTGTGGATGACTGGTTTATTTTTCATATTGTGCATTTTATGTATTTTATGTATTTTACTGCAAGCTGCATAGAGTCACATTAAAGTGAGATGGTTTGTCCCAGTCTTTTCTTGAGGAGAAAGATTGGGGGGAAGGTGGAAGGAAAAGCCAGGAGGCTTATAGTTGTACTCATTACTTTTGGTACTCCATGGCACTCTTCAAGGGAAGAGAGTTAGGCATTCCAAGGCGATCATCACTGTCTTTGGCCCCTTAAGTGTTTTCCTAAAGAGAAAGTCATGGAGCAGGCAAAATAGAGCTAACACATCTCAAACAGGGGAGAGAAACCTCTGCACCCAGATGTCTATGGAGATTCTCAGTCATCCAGATCTTCAAAGAAAAACAAGAAAGTCCAGTTGCCTCATGAAATCCTTTGGGATTCTGTAGCCAGAGGATCCAGAGATTCCCATCCCAGTTTTAAGTGGTTAAGTGGTTAAAAATACTCAAGTCCAGTTTGCCTTTTTATGCCCACACTCTTTTTTTTAATATGCAGTGAGAAAAGAAAGTGCTCTGCCTAGCAATATTTTCATGACAGGCAATATTTAAGAGGAACCTCCATCACTGTAAACATTCCAGTTTCCTTTGCTTCTTTCTTTTCGTTCTCATGGTAAGAATTGCAAAATGGACATTATTCCTAAATAATCCTTCTTACTCCCATCACAATCTCTGCATCCTCATCTTTAGAAAGCCTTGTCTGGGAAAAACTATGTGTGCTCTTATTAAAGCGAGCCATGTTAGGGAGCGGGGAAGCGCAAAAGGAGCCAGCATTTGTTTTGCGTGGGGGGAGAGGATGGGCTACAACCAAAGGGAGGAACGTAGGGAGACTCACCCGTTATCCCCACCAAAGACGTAGATGGCATCTCGATAAGCGACCACGGTGTGCTTGCTACGGCTGGAAAGAAAAGAGAAGACAATCTTGGTTTACATCCCTTCCCTAAACCGCCCTCCGGTCCGGCATTTCGTCGGTGGCTCCTACACGCTGTTCCCACACCAAGCCGAGCCCTCCGCAGATCCCAGAGACGCCTCACCGAGCCCCGACGAACTCATCGCAGGGCGGGAGGCGGCGCCACCGGTGCACCGTCTCGAAAGGCCCGAAGTTCAAAGTCAGGTATTCTACGCTGTCGGAGCAGCTATGATCAAAATCTACGCTGGGCGCCACCTTGGACCGCCCGCCAGAGTTGGCCGCAGCCGCCATGGCCCGGCTTTTGCTGCCGAGGACATCGATCAAGACTGAACGTCGACTACAATTCCCGACATCCCACGGCCCCGCCGAGACCGTTTCTTATTCGGAAATCCGACTACAATTCCCGGCATGCCATATGCTTCCTGGAGTAGCATTTTCAAGGGTGATCATTTCATTTTATAGCTTGTATTCGTACTATACTCTGTTCTGGTCGTTGAGTCGCATATACTCTTTCGAAGTACGTGTTTCAATTATGCTGTAACCTGGCAACGGCAGCCAAACGTTCAAGACAAAAAAAAAAAAAAGCTTGTGAACTATAAATTAAAATTGTGATTCAGGCAGCCTAGGATGAACGTATAAAGTAATGATCAGTCATTTCAATATTAATTAAGACAGCATTTTGTTAAACAGGAGGGGGAAAACTATAAACCATTAGAAACAATTCAGTTTCTCAACTTTTCTAAAAGATGTCAAAGACCATGTTGAAAAGACATCAAACTTAATAGTTAAGCAACTATTGTTTGCCTTTTCAATTAAAGGACAATTTGAAAAGAAATTGAAGGGAATGATCATAAGTAAGATAATTAATTTATCTATTAGTTTTGACTGATCAGTCTTCCTTTGCATTTTTTTTTACGAGTGCCTACTACTTTTCACTACTAAATATGGTGAATGTATTCAGCATGGACATGCACGTAAGTGTATTATGACCTCCAAGGTCCCTTTCAACTTTATTATCATTTGTGTAACTTTCTTCAAGAAAACAAGGAGATGGGATTTGCTAGAACCTTTGACAGTTCTCAAAAATTGTACATTCAAGAATTTCATATTTTATATCAATAAGGTATATATGCCCAATGACATTTCTTCCCAGGAATGTTTTTCATCTAATAGTAATAAAGTAAAACTGTGAATAAAATAGGGCAGAAAATGATAAAAACCAAGTTGACACTAGACGTTGCAATCAATATTGTGCCATTTGCTTATATACTTATATTTTTCTATATAGGTCTGTAAGTTAGTCTTGATCCTTTCTGATAGCTATCAATTCATCTTATTTTAAGTATACATTCTGTAGATACTTTTATTTTATATAAAGACTTTATACATAGCTATCTTTAAAAGTCTATTTATGTATGAAACAATCTATGGGACAAAAATTGCAGATTTCTCAACTCAGAAGCACTATAGAACTCAGAAGGAATAAATGTATTCACCCACAAATCGTTTTAATATGACAACGCAATTAGCAGCATAGGAAACTTGTGACAAGGCATCAAGTTACAAAGTACATGTAAAAGACAACCAAATACTCAAAAAGCTGGGGAGTTTCACTTTACTGGGTATGTAGAAATAGAAGCTGGACTAGTTAAATAGTTGTTTCTTGATCACCTGAATCAATGATGTAGTCTTATGAATGGAGCAGCCATTTTTTCTCATTATTTAAACACATAAAATGTATGGGTATGATCTTTGCATATAGAATAAAGGGCAATGTTTGTACATTTATAGTATCTAAAATTACTTTTGATGTTATGAAATATTTGCTCTGTGTATATGAAATCAAGAATTTTCCTTAAACAATATAGTTTATTAATTATAAAAAAGGGGAAGCTGCTTGCATTTTCTTGATTAAAGTTTGATGTAGTTATTCAAGTATCCAGTATATATTCTAGCAATAATAATGAGGTAGTCTTATGTCCATTTTAGTAAATAAAGGTAATTTAACTTAATAAATAAAAGAATTTGTTATATTAGTAAGGTAAATGATAAATATGAAACTTGTTCTGCTATCCTTAAGTAATGATTTTAATGTCATAATAAAGATATACTTTTATGTATTTCAGATCTAAGATGAAGTGTTATTTTTACTATTCTTTTATTTAAAATAGGTGTTATTTATGATATACTTTTGAAATCTTGAAAGTTAGGGAATAACAGGGCAGACAATTTTAAATGGAAAAGATTTTATAATACTTGGATTTTTGCATTACAAATTCCCAAGTTGTCCACTTTGAGAGGAAAAAAGCTTAAGGTACCTATTTTATCTATTTGACCAAATATTTTGCTGAGAGAATAGAAAAAAAAATTAATAAGTTATGTCATAGTTTTTTGGAAATGTCCTATAAAAAATAGTATCAGCACATCAAATTATTACTTATCTAAAATAAAATATTCCAAATTCAGTTTCAAGTTAAAAGGGATTTCTAAATTATCATTATAACTAACATTTCCAATCAAGCTAAAAGGGTTCTAATTCAAGTGATAATGGACAAGAATTCTCCTTCAATGTCCACATAAAAATAAATTAGCAATTTAATTATATTAAACATTCTAAAGCAGAAATCATTAAAGAAACTTTCTTAGGGCTAAATTTATGGTATGCTAAAATTTAGCTTCCATTAGATTTACTTCATTCATACGAAGGAAATACTTAGATACTTTCATACATATTATCTTTCTCAAGGAAGTCAGGGATATACTATCTGTAACTCTGTGCAAGTCCTGGCTTTTTGATGAGCCAGAAATACTCATGTAATTAGCATTTCACAGAAATAAATTTCTTATAGTATTACACTTCAAGCAGTTTGAAATCAACATAGATTAATTAATGTTACACGTTAACCAGAATTCCAAATTTATACAGAAATACAGCATTCTAAGTGGATACTATTTTCTTTTCTGAATTTTAAAAAGACAATACCAATTTATGTTTGAATACTTTTATTTCATTTCCCATAAAAGGGAGAAAAAGGCAAAAAGGTGTTGGGAGATGCATTGGTGTACTGACTTTTAGAGTACCCAGCAATATTAATTTACTACCCTATAAAAAATATTTGTACTAATTTGTGAACTATGGTTTAGCCAGTTGTATAATCCTGTGTGAACAAAGCAAACAGTATTGGAGAAATGAATTCATGAAGTAAATAAACAAGTTAAAAACAATCGGTTTCATATAAAAAAGTTTGGTTTCTAACAAAAGTCATCAGTAACCACAGGAACTGAGTTTTAATGTAGCAATTCTGCTCAATATGGGTGCATGATAGTTTTATTACAGAATTATGAAATGTTAGAACCCCAAGGGTTTTCTATAAATGGAAACAATTTAACATTTTTATTTATCAGGTTTTAATTCAAAGTATTGGACTGGAAGCAGATTCCATTTCATTCCAAATGTCTATATAAAAAATGTCATCTGGTTAGATCAAGATAATATACCCTGCGTAACAAAAGTGTGAAGCGGGACAAACTTCCAAGTTTCTAGATAAACAAGCTAGTGATAACAGCTCTTTCCTCATTTCATTAAACTGTGCTGTAAAACTGTCAGTGAAGTGCCTTTTCAGTGGAGGAAAACCTTTTAGAGCCAAACTGGAAAGTTTATCAGAAGAATAGTGTTCCCATTGTGCGAATTCAATATGCAAAACTCTGTGCATATTTGCCTTTTGTCGCCTTCTAAATCACAAGCAGTATTTCCAAATAAAGATTAATCATATTTGTAATATTTTGTGAATATAGGAAGTATTCCCTGTTTAGGTCAAAAATGTGAACTAAACCAGAAAATGTTGCCTATATTTTATCAAGATACTCTGGATTTATATGCCAATGGTCTGAAGAACTCTTCTTTCATTTTCATTGAGATGGTCTGAGAACATTGCATAGCAAGGCTGCTGGGCAAACTGGCATAAAAATTCTGTAAGATAAGCCTAGGAGAAAGAGAAATACATTGTTAATACCTGAATAGAAGAGAAATATATGGTTAATAATTAATTGAAAAAAATCATCATTAATCCAGGGTAATGGAGTTGTAGTTTTTATTAAAGTTGTCAAGGATTTGTGAAATAACTTACAAAGCAGAATCAAAATATGGGTTTAACATTTGTTCAAGAATGACTACAGAATTTTTGCAACAAACTTTTTTTTAGTTTGGGATTAAGGCTAATTGATTAATTGACTAATCTCAATCACCTGCAGTCAATGGCAGCATATCTGCTTATTCAATACAGGTAGTCCTTTACTTTCGACCACAATTAAGTCCAAAATTTATGTTGCTAAGTGATACATTTGTTAAGTGAGTTTCGTTCCATTTTACAACTTTTCTTACCACAGTTAAGTGAATCACTGCAGTTGTTAAATTAGAAACCCAGTTGTTAAGTGAATCTGGTTTCCCCATTGACTTTGCCTGTCAGAAGGTCACAAAAGTTGATCACATGACCCTGAGACACTGCAAACATGATAAATATGAGTCAGCTGCCAAGCATCTGAATTTTGATCATGTGACCATGAGGATGCTGCAACAGTCTTTAGTGTGAAAAATAGTTATACATCATTTTTCCAGTGCTGTTGTAACTTTGAACAGTCACTAAATGAACTATTGTAAATTGAAGGCTACCTGTAATGCAAAGCATATTTATTCTGAATTGCATTAGAAACTCAGTTCAAACTGTGCCCAGGATTATAGCTTTAATTTCAGTTATGTGTGTATGAAAACTATGAATGATGTCAAGAGATCAATCTCATCAGCTTTGGAATAATGTTAACTGTTAATTTATTTCCTGTTATAATTCAAAGAAAGATTACATTTCAGAAGAACACTTATTTCTGATTAATTTATATAGGGAATGGAAAATTCTTTTCCATAGTATTTGTTCTTGGAGGCAAGTCATGAATAACATTTTCTAACATGTTCAGGTGGTTTTTTCCTGGATTCTCTTTCCAAATCATTTACCAGAACATTGGTATGATGTTCTATTTGGTTTCCCCCCTCCCCCGAAATGTAAAAATATTTTCAATGTTCTGTGTTTTTAATCTCTCTATTACTTTATTACATGTATTTTCTTCTTCAATACAGATAGTGTTCATTTAACTTATGACAGACACCCTAAAAGGTATTTATGACCCAGTTCCAAAGTTCTGACAGCCACACGCATACTCTGGTCATTTGATTGCATTATGAGTGCCTGACAACCAGCTCATCTTTATGGCCATGTGCGTCCCAGAGTCACATGACTGCATTTTTTTGGTGTCTTTTTGCCAGTTTCCAGCAAAAATGGCCCATTGGATGAAATAGATTTGTTTAACGATCATGGCATTCACTTAATGATCATCACAAAAAAGTCATAAAATTGAATGATCTGCTTAACAATTGCCATGATTTCCAAGTGTAATTCCAGATTTAATTATGGTCATAATTAT